TGTATTCTATCAGATAAGCAACATGTGATGCAGAATAAAAAGAAGATAAAAGGGAAATGTCTTAAGTGATAGGAATTTTTTTATAAAAGAAAATAAGAAAGACTTTTTTAACTATCATTATTACTATTAGAATTTTTAGATAAAAAAAATTACATTAGCCTTGTTAGGAATGGCGGGGAAGAGCTAAGATTCACTTATCCTATGTATTCCAAATTCTTTTGCTAGCCATGGAGGCCACTCGACATAATTGAGGAGAAGTAACTACTGTGTTACCATGCAAGTGACTGTATTTATTTTTGAAATTATATAGAAGTTAAAAACCTGTTAAAGTACAGCATTTATTTAAAAAACTGAAATACCTTTAACTATTTCAAAAATGCTAAAATAACTCATGTTTTCCTTCTTAATTTATAACATAAATTCATTAATTAAAAAATCAAGGGAATAATAAATTTAAGATACGTTTTTTAAAATATATGAATTGACATGATAAATAAAACTAAAATCTACTAAGCTTTCTTAAAAAATACAAAATTATAGAAAAATTCTCCTACTTTGTTCCCCAAAAATTGGACTGAAGTGAGAATTCTTTTCTAGGTCTGGTCCATGTTTTATCTCTTCTCCTGCTGTCCTTTCTTATTTTATTTTCCTGGTTTACCTTTGCCTTAATCTCGCTTTTGGTCTTTGCTTCTGTCCTTTCTCTCACTTGTTCACCTTTACTGCTTGTTCCTCCTATCTCTCTTCTCTTCCCTCCTCTTCACTTTTCACCTTTGTAGGCTTTGGTCCATGGCTTCTTGGAATGTTATGGTAGTCACCCAAGTCAAGCTGTAGATCAACCATCTCTTTCACTTCTAGTCCAAATCAACTTATGGCTTAAAACCCATTCCACGATACTTACTCCTCTCTTATCTTTTCTACTTGTACATGAGCACAGGGTGCACTCAATCCTTAAATAAATGGTCCTTTTCAGTTATTTCTCATTGAGTTTTTTTAATTGCTTTCAGGTCAAATTCAAAATATGCAAGGACTGTTATCCCTTACCAGAAAGCTCTTTTAGACCTGCAATCCAAGATAATTACCAGAATGGTACAAAATTCAAGCAAGAACTCAGTGATCATCAAGTGAGATGCATTTTTTCTTTCTTACCTTTCGTGCTGCAGTAGCTGTCATTATTGTATGTACCCCTAATTGAATAGCACATGACTTTATGGTGCAGGTAAGAAGTCTGTTAACTCTATTCCGTTCCTTTACCTCACCATTATTTCAACATATGCCTCCTAGGTTACTTGATGTGAATAGACCAAGGGTAATGCAATGTTCAGGTATAGTAAATCAATTTCAACTTCAGGCTAGGGTTTCTTCTTCAAAAGACTAAAATATAGCTGAAAGGCAACTGAATCATGCTCTACTGGTCTCAGAGACTCAACATGCCCTGATGAGGGAACCACAAAATGATTCTTATAGACGAGCACTAATAACAGGCCATGCCTCATCAATGGTGGAACTTCAGCTTACACCAACTTCTGCGCAGCCTCATGGGCTGCCTCACTTTGCTGGATGCAGTGTGTCTCCATTGCAGCATCCTTACAGTGGAATGACAGGCCAGAGTAATCCACCTATTGAGCCACAAGCCTTGCAAAACCTAAGAGAGCAGTTTTTTTCAGGAATTCAGCTGCCACTGATACAGGGAGGCTTGCTGCAACCCGTGCGATATCCATATCACAATAACTCCTCTTCTCCATCATATTTTCAAGGGTGAGTTTCTGGATCTTTGGGTTCTTTCAGATTCTTTGTATTAGGGAAATAGAATTGGGTTTTATTTTGGTTTGAGCATATTTGAGGACCTCTTTTCACTTCTGAAGTATTTTTTCAGAAAATGAAAATCTTTTAATATTGGTAAGGTGGTTAAGGATCTCTTAAAATTCAGGGTGATAAGTATGTGAGTTAAAACTGCAGCAGCCTTTCTCCACTCAATGTCTACTTCTTCCCTAGATTTTGATTTTGCTGGGGCTGTATGATTTAGTTGCACTTCTAACACTAACTAAAGGAAATTGTTATTGTCCATGTCGCAGCTCTCAAAGATTTGAAGGAACATGAAATGGTTCATGGCAGGTT